ATATCTGCTTAAGAAAATACTTTTTAGCATTTCGAATTCGAAGGCAACCTTTTCCACTGCCGCCCTCTCGAACGCGCGTGACATACAGTGGAGTATCCGTTCCCCGAACGCGTCGATATTTGGAAAACGCGGCTGCTTTAATTTACCGTTCCGTAATAAAGAACGTCCCGTCCCGTTTTGCCATATATTCGAAGCATGATTTAAACGAGATGACGTAAACGCAATGCAATTAAGTACAACGACATTCGTCTTGGATCTCTAAAAAAATTTCTATAGGACGGACCTTAGTCATAAAGTACGTTTTGGCGATGTAAAGATAGAACAAAAATAAGAGCCCAAGATTCCTAAGGGTGACAAAACTGTTCTGGGGGGACGTTTTGCGAAAAACGGAAGAGGCGGGTCCTTCGAGGATTTGCGAAAAAATTGCCTGGGACCTCGGGAGGAGACACATAGACCTTTTTCCTTTTCGTTTGATCTGCTCCGAATAAGTAAAAAGGATAACGACACGTCGTAACTCGTAACGCTCGTAACTCGTAACACTCGTAACTCGTAACACTCGTAACTCACCCGAGTTTCCTCGGCCAAAGGAAGCATACGGTACAATCGCCGCTTAGTAGCGACATCTAGCGGTACCGTTTTCTTCCCTCTCCCTTCCTAACCCCGTACCGTACGTTCGTAGCACGTCATACTCCGCCATTGTTACCCTGCCTGTCTGTGCCGCTACTCCGCTCCGTCGCCGCTGGCCGCCGCCGGAGACGTCGACGACGACGACGACGACGACGACGACGTCGACGCACGGGCGTAACGTGGTGTGTTATCGAAGCCATTCATCGCTCGCTCTCGAAATCGCCAGACGCGGGCCGTCGCGGGATCGCGACAGGCCTTCTCCTTCCCTGGCTCCCTGTGTGTGTGTCTGGTTCGCCGCATTCGCGAGAATCGCGAGATCGCCTCGTTACGGTTCCGTGCACCTCGACGCCGTTTGGAGTACCACCTTGTCCGGAGGGCGGGAGTGAGACGGAGAGAGAAAGGAGGCGAAAGAGAGGCAGTGACAGAGGGAGAAAGAAGCGCCCTGGCCGTTCGCGAAGGATCGTCCTACACGACGTTCCCTACTGTCACTTTCGTGCCGAGACCGATACGGATCGCGCACGACGGCGCGGGCGTCCCGACCGATGCCCCGTCGACGGATTTAGCCCGGTAGCAGTGCGACCGTGCTGTGCGTTCGTTGTTGTAGTAGTGCATCATGTGATTACTTCCACATCTCTGTAATCTCTTCGCCACGGTGACGGGTACTAGCCAGCGTGAAGGTTAGTAGCTTCAAGGCTTTTGTTCGCTTCCTCTCGCTACTCTGTCCGCGAGTGTCCGCGACGTCCCCCTCGGTTCACCACTTCCCCGTGCATCCCCGTGGGAGTCGGGATCTCGAGGTCTCTCCGCTCTCTCGCCGCTCGCGGTGATCGCGTCGATCACCTTCCGTCTGTACTCGACGACCATCCGCCCTTTCCTCGATCGTTATCCCCCTTTCGTTTTTAATTAGCTGCGCTTTCCTCCGTTTTTTTCTGGCACACTACAATCGTTTTCCTGCGTCTTTAGCTGGTAACACCAAAACGGCGCGTTTTTCAAAAGGAAACGAAGAAAGAAAGTCGGACAGTTAGAACGGTTGGAAAATCCAGTTAAAGGGGGATATGTACTTTTCGGAATATGTTTTTGTTAGTCCCACTCGGAGAGCGGTCCTTTCTACGTAATAACTTCAGCTTGTAGCGTCGACAGGAGAGAAAAAAAGATTTAGAACCGACTGTAGGGACGGTCAGTCCTGACTTAGCAAATTTGCTAAACCGCTGTAGTAAACCGCTGCCCGTAACGGATAGACAATGAAAGAAAGTTCGGTTCAACTATTGTTGTAAAGAAAAACCCTTTAGTGTCATCTATTCAATCCGTTTGAAGCATGCCGCGCAGTGATTTTGGAAAGCACGTCTTTCTCTATAAAGAGCTTTCACATACCTGTAAGGTTTTATATTATTATATTAAGTTTGTATTATTGGTATTTGTATTTAAACGTTTTGTGGTGTTATTTTATTGAAAATAATAAGACTATTCCTAAACACACAGCTGCTTTATCTAGATAAAACTTAATATTTTTTTATTTCATTTCGAATAATATTAAACGAAACATTGGTAGAATTAGTTTAAGGAATATAATACATGCATTGTAACTTAATTTTGATTGCTAAATATAGTTAATAACTGTAAAAGTAAAATGATATTTTATTCTAAGGTAATATTTTTTACAATAAATTCTTTAGTCAATCGATTGCTAGTAAGAGAAACGGTCCAAGTCAGTTGTTGGAATAATACTTACATTTATATATATTAAAATAAACTTATCTCATACATATGACTATACGCTGATTACTTTTCGGACTTGTAACACAATCAAACTAAAATAATAATACTAAACATTGAATTCAGCGCCGTATCGGTCACAGTAAGATGTTGAACTACTGACTTAATATACATTCAATAAAATTGAAAGTATATAATTAATTTTTCAGACATAAATTGAGAGCCGATGAAATTATCGGATTCACACAATAAATCTGAAACTAATAAATCCCCCCAATTTCTTCCCAATCTTAAAACTGTAATAATTTTATTGCGAAAAAATAATAATAATTTCCTCAAATTTGATGTTACTAGCATTTTAAAAATTGTAGAGGACTTATTGTGAAACATTTAGTTTTAAAGATGACTATTAACATCTTAAGCATTATTAAATTACGTCTCAATGTAATTTGTGATATTACATTACTCTAGCTTTAGTTCGCTTTATTTCGCTAGAACTGTAAATTATTGTGGACATTGTTAAAGACGATTCGAAGTGAGTCGAAACTATTATATTATTATATGTATACGAATGAAGATATATGTAAATGTTAAATTATAGCGCACAAATTATCGCGCAGATTTTACTCTCGTTTGCTTTTTTAAATTTTGTTTAGTTACATCTCGAAGGTCTGATTAATATTTGTTGTTTTTTTTTTTTAATAAAAGTTGCGCAATGATATTATATAATAATAAGCATCAAAATTTTTAACCAAATATGGACTTCTTTACTTGCTTCTGTGGATCATTTCTCAATTTTTCACTTATCATTATTAATAATTTTAATTAGTTATTCAGGAATTTATTAAGTACATGTCTAATCTCTGCAAAAAGTGATTAGAATTGGAAATTTATTACTTTCTGTATAAAAACGAATGTATCTACATATGAAATAGTTTAATAAGCTCAATATTTAACAATATAACTTTATAATTTAAGTGAAAATATTCCTATTTCATCTTAATTACTTTCTAAAATGTCTGTTTATTATTAAAATATTTTTTTATTCAGGTTCTAAATCGCCGTCAAATTATATTTGCATTCAAATGCAATACTACATAGAAAAATCTGTATATTTTTTATAATTTTTTTATTTTGTTAAAAAATATGTATAATACATCTTTTTAACTGTAAATTTTTTAGGTGCTTTTACATCTATTGCTATTATAAACTTTAAAAGATCCGAGATATTGAAATAAATATATTTCAGTGTATTGAATTTTTCATTGTTTATTTTACAGAGTCTTTGATCATTTGGAATTGATATTTTTATAAGAAAAATATTAAAGTATGAGTAATAATTTGAGGTGAATGAAAAGTCTAAGAAATTTGTTAATACGAATTGATTTAAAAGATAAAGTGGAAAGGGGTAATCATATTTCTTTCTACTTTTTTCAATGAAATTGTATCATAAAGTTTTGTTACAAAAATATTTAACGAATACTGTATTCTACTCTACGAAAAATATAATCTGATCAAATTTTCATAAAAAAAAAGAAGAGAAGTTTTCCAAGCTTACGGAGGAATAAAAAATGCCAAAAGGAAAGATCTTAGACACATATGTGCGGAGAATGTGTCTAAACAGAAAGAAAAAACACATGCTAAATTATGTAATCTTATCGACTAATAGACTTAGTTTTTTATCGTACACTTTTTATCTTTAACTTTCTCTCTGCATATATTCGTACTTTGAGCGAAAGAATAAGAGAGGTGTTAGATTATTCTTAACTAAGAAGAGCAGATTTAACGTCGTAAAGTACAAGCGTCCCATGGGGTTGATCAGCTGTATCGATCGCTTTGATTGGCTATTCAATCGGCCAGCAATATTCTCTTCTCCCCTATTACACACAATCCTCCTCATCGTACAATCGCAACTATAATAAAGATACAGAGGAGAGATTAAAGGCTAACCGGCGGCGCCGGCGGTGCAACCGGCTCGACTCCGCGGTTGCCTTTTGTACTCGTTTTGGGTAGTAGTTGATGGTTTTTCCCTCCTCGACCTGTTCCTGAGTCATTCCCAGGGTACTCGGATCGGTACCTGAGATCGTCGAGTAGCTTCTTCCCGCGGTATTTTTTTTTTTTTTCTTTGCAGAGATTTGATAAATTATGATTAATTTTCTAATGCGGGCGTAATTTATCGAACTGTTCGTGTGAACTTTTTTTGAATTTCAATATCTTATATAAGCTACAGTCAGCATGACTTTTTACAAAATTTATTGTTAGCATATTATTGTTAATCATACATCTGCGAAATATTATCGAAGTTCGAGTCGTACATGGCGGCCGTGAGAATTTTTTTACAAGCGTATTTCGTTAATGTATCTTCCTATAAAGCATTACATTCTCTTCCCTTCAAAAGCCGGTCATTACATATACTATTATTACATGCTATAATTATCATTTATTATTGCGATTATTGTTTAATTTAATTAATATATACATGTATTATAATTTCTATCACGCCGATATTTGAATTATATAATTAGTCAAATTGTGTCGTCATAATTATTATTTCTATTTTATCAATAATCGAATGTGTACTTTGAGATGGCAATTTCACAAAATGTACCAATATATAATAGCGCGAATAGCGCGCTATATAAAATTTTGAATGTCAAAGGTCATCATCGATCGCACCCTAATTGGAATCTAATGCGACCGTGGGGAAACCATTTGATATGATAAACGATCATGCTATTCCTAGAATTGAAAGCTTGATTCGTACATACATCGAGCAGTAAAGATACACACTAATTGTAGCGACTCCGACGATTTTAATATGTATATTTTGCCTTTTCGAAAAATTTATAGGCTGAGTTAAATTGCCCCATTCGGAATAATACATACAGTGAGAGAAAAATTTTTAATATTTGTAACTATAATTACATGTTATTACAAATATGATATTATTACAAATATTTTTAGTAATAACTATAATAGTAAGTAATAATAAATAATATGTTGTATATATAATTCTGTCAACAAATATATACAAATTGATAATGATTGTAATTACAGTTATTAATTACCATAAAATGATTGAAATTATTGTATAATTTACAGTTATTTTTGGGACAATTATATTATATGGTTGTCCCAAAAAATATTTAGTTATAATGATTGCAATCATTTTTGTGGTAATAATGACTATAATTGTAATCACTTTTTATTACCGACTATATATTCGTTGATAGAACTGAATATATAATTATTATTACTAACATAGGAATAATAATCATAATTATAGTAATATATAATTATAGAGTTATAAACGCCGAAAATTTTTTTCTTAATGTAAGACTTACTAAGCGCTGTTGATTTCGAGTCACAGTCGTCATGGAAAAGGGGAACGGATGATATTCCATCTGAGAAATATCTAATCGTGAGCATTACATCAATAAGAAAAGGGGGGGGACGGTTCGTCTGGCATTTATTTACTTTACTCTTTATTTATTTAGTTACAGCAACCTTAGAGATCAATAACCGGATAACACTTAAGATAAACATTTCATCATGTGAGTCTCGCTAAATAGAAGAAGATAACTTTATTCGAAACTTGATGCTCGCATATCATAAAACGTCATGCATTTTGAAGAAATCTGTGTAACATTATCATCATATTACGCAACATCCATATTCACGACGAATTCGCATTAATTCAGTACAGCCCTCAAGCAGGGCTGGACATGTATTTGAAATACCTTTATTTGAAAAACAGCTGAATCTTTAACACAATTGTATCTTGTATTTTCAGTATTTTATATTTCAACGGAGCACATGAAAGTATTTGGTATTTCATATTTCAAATACTAAGATTGACAATCAATTCTATTATTTGAATTGCAAAATACAAAATACTTTCAATCTTTCACTTTGAAGAAATACTGAAGTACAACATACGAGAAAAATCTTTTTGCATTGTGCTGTGCCAAAATACAGAGTAAAATTCTATTATAAATATTGTGTTAAAAATAAAAGTAGTTCAATGCCCTCAAGATATTTGTAAATGTAAATATAATTACCGCTTGATGTAATAACCATTGAATATTATTCGTAACACTTTTAAATTACAAACCGATAATGACTTAATGCTTTTAATCACAAATTGATAATTCTAATTTACAGTAGTCGCCGATATACACAGGCTTATCGTAGTTATGTTGATGACTTTTGCAATCGATGGAAATGGCTGTACTTTCGAAAAATCTGACTGTGCACTGTATATCACAACAATTTATTACACGCGATGTACATTTGGAGTAGATTTGTCCGTTTGTAAATAAGTCTCCCGCAGTCTCTTAACACAAGCGTTTAATCATGCTGATAGCTTTAGTTGAATAACTATGGTTAGGTTGTCGATTATCGTTGTCCCTCTCAGAATTATAGTCCTACCTGCATGTAATACACAGGTTCTCCCACCGTTATCGAGTATCGTTTTAGCCGCAGTCGCTTTAGGATGGGCAAGAATAATGGCGATTACTTCGATGTTAAGACACACACACCGGTATAGTTACGAAATAATTCAATACTGTGTGAAAAGACATTATTGTAATTTAAAGAATGCGAATGGAACTTTTCAGATAACGAAGAAAATGGAAGATCCCGTTTTCCAAAATGGTCATTAAGTAAATATCATCTTAACTGAAAATTAAATTTTTTGAGAGACTCATTTGTTAAAATCTGAAAGCATCCAAGTTCGATATCTTCTTTCTCTTTTCCCAAATACAAGTAATCTCTTGATTTTATCATGAAAGAAATTAAATTAAATTAAATTATCGCACATACATATAGCACATACAGTGCTATAACGATTTCTTTCCGGTTTGGAAAGATTAATAGAAATGAGTTGGGACGACGAAAAGGCGCGGAAGATGCGAGATCGTGCGATCGACGAATTGGAACTTCCGGCGAATTGGAACGCCGTCGCGTCGCGAATAGATCGATATCGCGTGCGCGGAGTGCACGTAAAAAGCACGCGTGTTCAGATATGGGATACGATGACGCGCCGCGCGCTGTCTGCACGCATCGCGAACGCGACACGGAGGATGAGCGTTTCGCGTCCGCGTCCGCGTCGCATCGCTGCCGCCGCGCGCCGTAACAAAGCAGAGCGGTACACGTGTACCTTGTTAAATAATGCAACCGCCGTTCTTTCCATTCACGTGGCGATACGTACGTGGACGCTTGACGTCGCGCGTCTCTAGCTTCGCCCGTCGCGCCGGGATGTTCGTCGATTCTTCTATAGCCGTCGATTGCCATCTCGTTTCCATTCCGGCGCGATCGACGACGGGCGGTCCGTAGTTTCGCGTTTTCGTCCCGTTGCGGTTGGTTTCTCCCGTTCTCCCTTTTTCCCGTTCTAGATTTTCGCTTCTGGTCCCGCGAAAGATACCATTGCATTGGCTAGAGCGTCTCGGTTGGCCTCTCTCGTCATCCACGGTAGAGATAAGCATTGGTTACAATCACGAACGCCAAGTAAATTTTCGATCCTCTTCATAGAATCGGCGCGATCGGTGTAAGAAGAGGAAGGAGTGGACATGCGTGGACATAACAATATTGTGTCGTCCGGCTCTTTCTTAAAGAACAGTTGTTCGCCTACCCTCTTTCGTCTCTTACAGTTAGAGTGTGTCGTAGTGCGTACGTAGGCGTACATATATTGCTGTGAAAGTGTGGTTAATCGGTGTTTTTTTATAAAATCAACCGGTTTCCCGGGTCGACGAAAATTTAAAAGTGCACGATATTGCGGCTGATTTTCAAGGCAATTAACGCAGGTATTTCGTTCCTCTCGCGCTTAATAATTCTTGCGTGAAATTGTAGGAAGAAATGTTATTGCACCAAAATCTTTGAATTTCTTGAATTTATTAGCTTTTCATCTTGCGAGTTGTTTTTATTCGGCGACGGGATGCGGGATCTATAATCTGCAAGTCGCAGAACAAGATTAGTTGTTCTCGTTCCGAACGTATCGATTTTACCCGTCAATTGATTAAGTTCCGATATCTATGAGCACGTAGCGTGACACATGTCTCCATTTTTATCAATGTAGATTAACTTTAATCTCTTTACTGTAATCTCTCTTTATCTTTTTTTTTTAATTCTTCGAACTGGAGAAAGAATACAAATAGTGAGTTAAATCGAGATTAAAATTAATCTAACCTAGTAGAAATAGATAATTTAGTCAGCTTTACTGGGACACATGGGAAATTTCCCAAATCATGAAATTAAATGAAAACAATTTATGCAAAGGAAATGCTTGTCCACACGACAGACACATGTCCCTTTTATTCACGGAAAGCGACTGGTCGTTTTCGAGATATCGATTTTATCAAGCACATGATTCATTTATATATATATATATCTAGTAGTCATGTAGCACATTGCGCACAGCAATTCTTTCTAAGTGTCGTGATGTCATCGGTTTTTTTCGATGACGGAATAAAATCCACGAATTTTCCATGAATTTGAAACATAGATCTAGGCAATACGCAAGGTGAGATATAAGGGGAATTGTCGTAAGAATTTTAGTAAGAAATAACGTCTTTATTTCAACGCATCGATTAAATGATCGAGCGAATCGTGTATCTCCGCGAATTTGATGAAATAAATTGAATATGATGGGACTGCAATAATTCAGAAAATCGAATCTTTATGAAATCAATATATTAAACATGGAATTCATTAATCGCGCGCGTAATAAAATCATTCCCTTCAGAGCCTCATTTTGAATAATCGTAAATTGATTTCGTTTTCATCTATTTGTCTGTCACACTTCAGTACATTATTCTTTCAGATCTATATCCATTTTCACAATTTTTTTATTTTATTATATAATTATTTTGTTGTCATATATATATTAGTTTACATTTTATTTTTGTGATAATATGTCGCACTGCAAATCGGTACCTATTGTTTTGTCATGTACCGTCTATGTATCATTTTTTATCTTCTCTTCTTTTGTTTTTCTAAAGCATTTACTTCAAAGTAAATAAACCTAATAATCTGCTTATCTTATCTGTGTATTCTGTATATCGAGTTATCTATCACCTTTTTCTATCCCCACTATTCATGCTTCGTTCTTTATCGTCACGAAGACACGTGGTTTGTCCTACTTACGTAGCGATCTACTTTTAATATTCGTACAATATTCCAATATTCGCTCACAGTTAGTACCACGTCAGATTTTCTCTTATTTTTTAAATATCGTTCCAATATAATATCGATTTTTATTACACATAATACGGGGCGGGGACAAATGTAGGGGAGATCTCAATATCATAACGAACCTAAGTATCTGCAGGCTGATAAAGTGAACTTGCAATGCTTACGAAACGTTGACATTCTAAGAATGGATTTGGAGATAATCCGTGAAATACATAATTTCCATATCTCAAAAAGTATTCGTCGAATATTATGTCCTCAAGAATATTAACATATATATGTATAATTCTATGAACCAATATATATAGTTTGCAAACGAAACTATAATTATAGTTATTTTTGGTTGTCACATATATTTATACATATATTTGTCGATGTAATTATAGTTATTATCATTTTTTTTAAATAGGAGAATAAAGGTTTTAAGAATCGGCGCTGCAATTAATTATGTGAATCTGATACCCGACTTTAAGAAAGCAATTTTTTAATAAGCATTAAATTAAGCTCGGTTCGTGTCTTCCTTTTCGTTTGTACTTCAAGGAGTTCAAAATTATAAAGGATGGAAAAATGCGAAAACGGGTGCTTATTCCGGGATCGTTTGTATCCGTCGAAACCGGTGGTGGTACAAACTGGTACAAAGAGCAGCACCGTTTACAACAGTGTTTCGAACAGCATTCGTTTAAAGCAAATTATTTTTTGTGGCAAATAAAAAGATAGTTGCATTTTGTGACATAATGTACGATCTAATTTTACGATGTTGTATAATAGCAGTACAATTAAATTTAAACATGTCGATATATTAAATACCTATCCGACATCCCAAATGTATTATAAAATATTATACGGGGTGTTTTTCCTGTAACTCTTGAACATTTAAAATATCTCCATTGTTTTGGATGATACGAGAAAATACCACAGGGGATCTTGTTCGAAAGGGCACACATTATGATGAGCAAAAAATGTTTCTTATTTTTTCCATCTCCTGTAGACTATTACACTCTAACAATAATTATATTAAGACTATCGAATTTTAAAACAATAACAAACAAAAAAATAACTATAATAGACTAATGAGAGTCAGCATCGATAAACGGGGCAATTATTTAGTGAACAATCAATAATCAGAAATTAGATTGATGTCTTCTCTATTTTGAACGTTTCGACTCTCTTTGGATCCCTCCTCAGCAAGAATAATGATACAAGAATAATTAGCTCACCTGTCCATAATATTTAAGTCACTCGCAAATTGACAAAGATGCGGCGTTGTTAATCTGACGTTTAAAAAAAAAAAGAAAAACAAATCTTATTAGAGTGATATATGCGTAAACAATTTATACAATCGATAACTCGCAATTTGTTTGAGAAAAAAATAAGACGTCTCGACAAATACTCGCGTAAGAAATTCGCACATAAAAACCGCCATGCATAATTCAACGCTAATGTATAATGTAAGTGTACATATATATTTTCCAGGATGCAGGAACTGGCATTCCAGCGCCGAAAAGGGATCCTTGCCCCGTTATCGGTGTTAGTGCTGCTGATACTACCATTGGTCGATTTACCCTCTGTAAACGGTGAGTCACGAATGGGCCGAGAGTTTGTCTGCGTACACAAGTATGTATACACGTATGTGATTGCTGAGCGAGCGCATGTATGTACGTCGTTCACCGTCTTCGATAATACGCGAACAATGAGAGAACGGCGAATAATTACGTCTATTCGTTTACACAAGCGTCCTTGAACGCCACTTAATCGTCTTCACCTCGTATGCCGGTGTATTGTAACGTCATCTTTACTGTCATCTTAAAGAATGTTAAAAGGCCTCTATATGAAAAGAATTGACGCAATGTTCAGTGTTCAGATAACGACGTTACCGAGTGAAGTCACCATGTCAATATGTAGCATTAATTGTTAACATTGCTCAAGAGCTCCTTAGAGATTGTTATTATATCTGGAGTGACATCTATAATATTTTATTATTTTAGCTCTTTATCAGAGCTACATGTCAAAGGTAGAAGAGATGACGCATGGATTAAAATCTCGTGAAATTCGGGAAAGTTATTTGGACAATTACCAACCCTGTGCTCTCGGAAATAAATTTATATTAACTCGGAATTTCAACGCTTTATTGCTTATATTTTTATTGATTTGATAAAAGAAAATATATATGAAATATTAATTATTGGAATGTTTTTATTAATTTCGCCTGCGTAAAAAATGTCATGGGAAATTTCACGGTATTCAGAAATAAACGCATTTGATGAATGAAAAGTATTTTCTGTTTAAGAGCGGGGATTTATTTTCTATCGAAATTTTTAATTTGGCATTTCAACAAACGACGACGGTCCTTTATCATTTCATCAGTCTGTTGAAATTTTAATAACACACTAAACATAGTTAAAGCGTGATAATTATGTTTTAAGAATTTATCAAGGTAAAGTTATGTTAATAAAATAATTTTGCGTTATTTATAATAATAAGTTAAATTAGACCGCTTCTGCGAGAGTAACACACAAACAGATAAGGCAGTAGCCTTAGTGCCTAATAATATTATTTTATAATTTTATATTATTAAATACACTTTTTCCCATTTTTCAAACTGCGTGCCGGAGAAAGGCAGCCGGTTTTAAAACGCAATCTAAATTTCATAAATTACATTAACTGTTAATTTAATAGTAACAATAACGCTAACAACACTGATTTTCTTAAATGGGATAATTTTTTTTTTTATTTATTCTCTTATGTATTTTTTCGATTCTGAAAATGAAGCTAGAATTATCTTACCGGCTCCAATTTTTTAAAACTGACATATTTCTTTTACTGAAAATTTATACATATTTTGTGCTAACAAGAGCTCGTCGTAAATAATTAATTTTTGTTCGAAGCTTTTTATAATGTGTAACAGAAAATCAATTTAAATTCAATAGCTATTTATTTCCTAAGAATCACTTATTTATGTCTGAGCGGGTGAAATAAAAAAGTGAAAGCATTTTTAAATTAACGTTACTCAAAAACTCTGGCTATCCTTATAAATTTATCAAACAGATTTAAAATTATCAAAAAAATATTATATGAAACACTCCATCTTGGATTCATATAGAAAATAAAATATCTTAAAGACACTGCAAAGAATTTATTTGCGTTTATTAATTTATCCTCGAGAAAAGCAATGCGCAAAAGAAAAACTTCCTTTTTCCTAAGAAACGGAAAAAAAAAAAAAAAAAAAAAGACACTCGACTCAACGCACGTTCTTGTTAAGGGGCTGCAGTCATCTCGGTTTCACAAAAAGAAACCAGTGCCACGTGCACGAAAAGTGCATTTAACGCATTGTATAAAAGGAATATATTTAAATGCGGACTTGGACATTCCATTTCCGCTACGAGGAAGCCCATTCGTCATGTTCCCCCGGGTTAAATCTCGTCTTCTTGGGTTTCCTCGTGTCTCCATCCGGATTTCGGTTGTTGGCGCGCGCGCGCGCGAGAAACCATGCGCTCTCGTACGTATTATACTCGTTAGCTCGTTAACGAGTGGTTTTCCCCCGCTTTCCTACGGCTTCGCGCCTCATCCGCGAGCCTCTCTCTGAAAAAGAGCTGTTAAAGAGCGAAGACGCGAGACGCACAAAACCGCCGCCGCCTGTCGAGCGGCTGTCCACGCGCCTGCGAGATCTGTCGCCGCTTCTTCTCGTCGTCGAGGACGATCGCAAGACAGAGAGGCAGGAGGATGAAGGGGGGAACGAGAGGGAAAAGACCGCCACCCTCTCTCTCTCTCTCGCAGCTACGTCGAGATAAATGATGTTTCTTCGACGAAAGATGCGCGTCTAAAACGGTCGACCGTCGACGCTCTTCCTCGCCCTTGTTCCTTTTCGCTTCTGCCTATGGCTATGCCGGCGCGGCGTTCGACGTTCCTGATGGCTGCTCGGTTCGCGCATGGTGCACGTGCGCGTACCGCTTAGCATACAAGGTGTCCGAGAACCTCCCAGCCTAGTCGAAGTCGAGCTAAATCTTCTGCGGAGAGGGAGATGATAACTTCCACGTTACGAGAGCGATCTACGAGAGTTGCGGAGGCTCGCCTTTCCCGCAGAACCTGAGGAAGCGCCAGAGTAATCGGCCGATAATGGTTTATTCGAAACGTACGTTGTAGCAAGTGGCCGTGTTGCTTTTCCGGGCGTCCCCGCTCCTGGCGAACACTTTAGAATTCTAATTAGAGATGACTTATGTCGGGCTGTTACGGTAATGGTTATCCTACGAAATGTCCCCCTCGGGGAAACAGCCACCGGCTCCATTTTCGTCGATGCGCCCGTCGTTAATATTAAAGGCTGGATCGGTTCTGAGACACCCCATAGACGCTGTCGCGTGTGTATCCCCATTTCCCTTCGCGCACCCTCCGTTCCTCCGCCTCCGCCCTCTTCCCGGCTATTTCTGACGTTCGCCATCGCTCGCGCCGCCGAGCAAGCAACCACCCCGAAATATACGCACGTTCGATCGAACGCACTAAACATCGCGAACCGATGTATCTACGCATCAAGTCATACGCTTTTGGACCTTAACCTTTCGTCCAGGACCGTTTACCGTCCAACCTCGAGGGACCATGGTCTATAAGAATATTTTATAAGGATCCCCCATAAACACGAACAACTTCATAAATTTCATTTTATAAAATTGATTCATTCACGACAGTTGAGTTGACTTTAACGTATTTTTTTTTTTATTTTGTTTGTTTTAAGTCGCTCATTTGAAGCTGCATGTAATTAATTGACATCTATTGATTTATCGTACTCTATAAAATATCAGTGTGAATTTAACATCATGCGGTGTCTACATCTATGTGTATTATTCTTATCGTGTTGATTTTAACATCAATATGGCGTAGATTTGTAACCCCTAATGTTTACGTCGGTCCCAGCAGATTGAGGCACTGAAAAAAATTTATCAATATTCCTATTTGTAGACCTTTAGAACTCGAAGGCACACTCGATCGTCCACATCGTGTTTGCTCCATTTTCCCTCGTACGTCTGAAAACTTTCCGCTCGGCCAGAGCATTCTCGTCCTGTCTGGCAACTTTTCATTAGAACTCGCTAAATAGCGTCGCTTGACGGCTGGTGACTAAGATAAAGAGGCGACGAAGGCTGGGAAAATGACTGGTAATGCGGCCCGCGTGTGTCGTCAACTTTTTCTTTTTCTTTTTTTTTTTTCTAACTCGCGCGTTCCGAGCATCGCTCGCGTCGCTTCGCGAAGCGACACATATTCAACGCAGTGCGCTTCAAGCAGTTCCCTTTCTTCAGCCTGACTCTCACGCTCTTAACCGTAATAATCGTGTTGTATTGGACCCGATAGCAATTTTCTAATCGTCTCCGCGTCTCTTGATGAAAGCCTTCGACCACGTGGAGCCTCTTAATTCTCCCAATTAAGCGAGTCCTCGCTTTCAGATTCTCCACCTGAATGAACGTAGACTTACAATTAAAAAAAAAAAACTAATCTCGTGTCGAAGAAAAATCCTTTCAACGAACAAGCCGTTTTTACAAGCTATCTTGGAACGAATAGAATAAAAATATAATAAAATTCTCGGTAATCCTTGTCATTAGATTTTCCCTATGTATCTAGCAATCTGGAGAAACAACTTGCGAGATTTACGTTGTAATATATAAAATATTAAATATAGGATAATTTGTTAACCAATGTGAACAAGATGACACATAAAACTTATTCTTTAATTTTTATTTAATTAATTTTGAATTTTAGTTCAATAAAATTTTAATTGGAGATAGAAAGAGAGAGAGAAGCTTATCTATTTTTTAAAAAGTGTGTATGTTTAAATGTTTTAGTGTTGAGAAAAGGCGGCTAGAAAAATTTCCGTTTCTAATTTTACGATTTTGGAACTGATTTTATTCCAAATGATATCTCATGATGAGACATCAATCTCGAGATAAATTCATGCTGCAAAGCGTATACTGACACTTTAATGAACTTTGACTACTTGACTCCCTATATCTCTTAAATTAATTCTCAGCTTAACTTGAAAATGTTTTGTCATTGATGTCTCATCATAAGACATATCATTTGACACACAATTCAAAAAAGCGAATAAAAAAGCAGCCGAAAAAAAATTATCGAGATTTTGTCTCTTTCTCTAGAAAAAAAAAGTATAATTTATCAAAGATTTGTAATTTATTTATTATGTTAAAGACCTAAATTATTTTTATATTAAAGACTTTATCATGAAAATTTTGAGCGTGAATTTTGGACACATCGATCGTCCGATTCATAATTGTATGATCATAGGAATCACTGATTAAAATATATAAAAATTCATTGTTATATTGCACGCGTTGAAAGATTCCTTATGCTTCAGGATCTTGCGAGTTTCCATCGAGTTGGTCAGGAGAATGGTTTCAGTATGGCAAGCCTCAATCAGTCATTATAAACACAACCAGTCTCGGGGAACGGACATGTCTCGAAAAAACGGATGACAAATATATCGTTTTGTAAGTATCTTCTCATTTAAATCAAAAGAAATATTAATCATCATTCCATCATTTTATTGCAAATTATTTAATTTGCGACTGACAATGAACATTTTGATAAAACTTTTTCAGCTTCCACAGGTATTATCTTCAAAAATATCACACACAGAAGGTCTGCGAGTTATCGCCGTGTTTTCATCTATTGCAAATGCC